TTTGCAGATATAAGATACTGTATTATTAGAAACTCACCAGTATAGAAAAAGCTGATGTGGGTTGGGAGATAGAGTTGATATCCCAGCAACAGTCTTCTTACTTCATAATCTAAGTATATCAGAGACGTATTTTGGAGACACAAATTTGACCCTAAATATAGCTAAAACCATGCTCTTGCAAAGGGCTTTGGTGTAAGGTATTACTTTGTGCTTAATTATTGAGGCTGTTAAATTCCTTAGGTTTCTCTTTCTCACAACCAAAGGAGTTTAACGGCCTCAGTAATTAAGCACAAAGTAATACCTTACACCAAAGCCCTCTGCAGAAAGAGAAACCTAGCCGGGTACGGTGGCTCATGCCTGTAATCCCAAAACGTTGCGAGGCCGAGGCAGGTGGATCACCTAAGGTCAAGAGTTTGAGACCAGCCTGACCAATATGGTGAAACCCTGTCCCTACTAAAAATACAAAAATTAGCCAGGTGTGGTGGCATGCCCCTGTAGTCCCAGCTACTCAGGAGGCTGAGACAGGAGAGTTGCTTGAACCCGAGAGGCAGAGGTTGCAGTGAGCCGAGATCACGCCACTGGACTCAAGCCTGGTGACAGAGCATGACTCCATCTTAAAAAAAAAAAAAAAGATTACTTGATCCTCCAGTATATATCAAGTAACGGAGGATTTACTTTGAGGACATACTTGTGAAACAGGCCTCTCTGTCTTTACTGGAAGCCAGGCAAACCTTAACCATCAGGCCTTACAGAACCTGGAACTTACAGAACCTGGAAGGGGAACGTGGTCTGGATTGAGCAGATGTGCTTGGCTTGATCTGCTCTAGGGACTGCAGGAGCCACAGCACAAGGCTCTTGTTCTTGTGCTTCACTTTCCATGTGACTCAACTACTCTGTCAGTTTCTGCTTCCCTTAGAATCTGTTCTTTTTATGTTTACAAGGTGAACTGTTTACTTCATTTTACAAAATCTGGAGAGAAATGGTCTGAGGCTATGTTTAATTACCATAGTCCATTGAGAAGTTTTCCTTCAAGTCACACTGTTGTTGCTGATTATCCTATATTTTGGGAACTCTTGGGCCATGGGCACTTCCTAGTCCAATCAGCTTTGGCCAGAAGCAGGTTCTACCATATAGACATGATTATCTCCAAATTAGAGGGAGCCCCCAGCTCCAAGTGAAAGGGACGTGTGGACAGTTTCCTTTAGAAAGGGATGTGTGATGGTGGGACAGACATGTCTGCTGCAGTAGGAATGTTTCATTTGGCAGAGAGAAAACCTAAGAAAAAGTAGGATTGCTACCCGCCATTATTATTAAAAAGTAGGATTGCTACCCGCCATTATTATTGAAAAGTAGGATTGCTACCCGCCATTATTATTGAAAAGTAGGATTGCTACCCGCCATTATTATTGAAAAGTAGGATTGCTACCCGCCATTATTTGCACAGCTACCTTATGAAAGTAGTTTCACGTGTGTCTTAGATCCCTTTAGAAGGAAGATATCAGACAAAGAGACCTGCAATAAATGGGAAGAAGTCTTGGCTTAAATGTAGCATTCCTCTGACAGAGTACAATGTGAGTGGAGTTGGAGATGATGCCAGAGCGTGAGCTTGCCATTGCCGGGCTTTTACAAATGTCATCATCCCTTTGTATTGAGCGCCGTTGCAGCGTGCAGACACTGGCTAGTATTTTTTTAAATAAAGATTTTATTTTTAATAACCTAGCTATTAGTCATAACCTGTCTTAATTCACCTTCCCTAGAAGTAGAACCTGAGAAGGGATCTGGGTGCACGTGGTTTATTGAGTTTACACTCTTAAGAAACATCTCCAAAGAATGAGGAAAACAGAACAGAGAAGAGCTGGGCAGGAATGTAATCGCAGGTAAAATGCTGTCTTCCTCTGATTCAGAGGAATTATGTAAAATTTGTACTGGAGTATTGTTCCAATCTGAGACAAGGCTTCTGGGCTTTTTGGACCCTGCATCATTCAGTCATTGGATGTTTGGGGTGAGGGGCGTTGTCACTCCCCAAGTGTCTCGGGTGAGGCAGCTCCCGTCAGTCCCAGGTAATTCTTCCTAGATCAAGTGTGGAAACTGTTAGCTGCAGCACCTGCCATGGCAGGGAGATGGGTATCCAGCTGGCAAATGCGATCTGGGTGGAGTATCAGCAGCATCTGCTGCAGGCTTCCTTGAGTCTGCTACAGAGAGTCTGCTACAAGACAGAAACTCTGGCTAGTGTAGGCAAAAAGCAGAACTGGTTGGAAGGAATAGAGGACTGACTGATCTGCGAGACAAAAGGACCACATCTGGACCATGGGCAGAAGACAAGGCAATCTTAGAGGACTAAGAGGACCGAGTTGTTATGCCCAGACCGTTTATTCCCCGAAGAAGACCACCAGAGTCCAGAGTCAAAGCTAAGCAGTAAGGATCTTTATTACAGGTTCAAACCTGGAACTCTCACTTGCTCGCGAAATGAGACGGGCAGGAGAGCTCCAAGCAGTGTTATATAGTCTAAGAAAAGTGGGCATAGAGTTATTATACAAATCAGATATATGATTGGCTAGTGTTTGAACAAGGCGATTTGGCTAACTATGATTGGTTCCCGCCATTTCTAATATATCAGTTCAACCTTTGAGGCGGGAGAGCAGGTTTATGGCAGCAAGAGTTTATCTTACTTAAACACGTCTTGTGACCTTGCCTCAGAACTTATAAAATCTCTGGTACGTGCAGAAAAACAGGTACTCACAGAACTTATGAAATCTCTGGTATGTGCAAAGATTAGAGAGCAGAACAAAGGGTGTGTGGGGGGGGGGGGGCGGGTACACATCTATCTTTGTGTCCTTTCAGAGTCTCAGAAGACTGCCAATACAGTGAGGAGTTTTAAGCAATAATTGCCTGGCCAGGACAGCATTATGATTGGATGCCACTGGACGTCATCACAGCCACTCTAAATGAATTCTCATCATCTCTCCAAAGCCAGCCCTTTGGGTAGAAACACCTGATTGGCCAAACGTAGAGCACACATTTATCACTAGCATGCTTGGAAGTGGAGAGAGGATGAGACAGCTGCTTGTTTCTTGGAAGGAAGGAAGGAAGGCGTTGCAGCTCACCAATAACTCACATCATGCGATATTCTTCAGCAATTGGAAAAGGAGTTTGATGCTGAAGAACAAAACCTGAGAAAAGCCAGCGTATCTCCTGAAAAGCTGGCAAAATGAAGATTACTACCCTTATTTTACGATTATAAAAACTGAGACTCAGAGAAGTAATTTTATTCATTGATTCAGAGAGATTAAGTTCATTCATTTGCCAATTATTTGTAGAGTGTCTGCTATGGGCTAAGCCTTATTCTAGGTCCTAGGGATTCAGCACTGAGCAAAATAGGCAAAAATCCATGGCCTCATGCAGTGTACATTTTTTTTTTTTTTTGACGTGGAGTCTCTCACTGTCGCCCAGGCTGGAGTGCAGTGGTGTGATCCTGGCTCACTGCAACCTCCACCTCCCAGGTTCAAGCAATTCTCCTGCCTTAGCTTCCCAAGTAGCTGGGATTACAGGTTCCCACCACAATGCCTGGCTAATTTGTTGTGTTTTCAGTAGAGACGGGGTTTCACTATGTTGGCCAGGCTGGTCTCAAACTCCTGACCTCAGGTGATCCACCCACCTCGGCCTCCCAAAATGCTGGGATTACAAGCGTGAGCCACCATGCCTGGCCTGCAGTGTACATTTCTATGTGATGTGGGTAGGGTGAGAGGGTGTTGAGACAAAAAATAATAGGTAAATAAAACACATAGTATATCAGACGGTGACAAATATTAGAAAGAAAAAATGAATCAGGGAAGGTGAGTGGGTTGGGTGTGGTGGCTATATTATGGAGATGTTTCCATTTTAAGTAGGACAGTCAAAGTAGTTCCTGCTAAAACAGTGACATTTGAGCAAAGACCTGAAGGAAGTAAGGGAATGAGCTATGTGACTGTCTGTGAAAATGTCCTGGGCAGAGCGAACAGCAGGTGCAAGATGCCCTTAGGCCTGCATGCAACTGGTAAGCTCAGGGACCCACGTGGAGGCTAATACAGTTAGGGGAGAGGGAGCCAGGGGGAGCAGCAGAAGGAAAAACCAGGAGGTGGCTGGGGCTGGACCATGGGGGTCTTGGAGCCCATACAATGTTTTGAGGAGGGGATTGACATTATTGGAATTACACTTCAGAGGGTAGAAGGATGGACAGAAGCAGAAAAACTGGTTAGGAAGTTTCTGCAATAAATTAAGTAAGTGGTAATAGAGTCTGGGATTGGGGTGGCAGCTGTGGAGGTACTGAAAAATAGTATTGTTGCTACGTTGCAGGCTGAAGAATGGCCCCTAACATGTCTGTGTCCTAATTCCTGAAACTTGATAAGGCAGAGACTTTGCAGATGTGGTTAAAGATCTTGAGATGGGGAGATTGTTCTGGATTATCCATGTGGTCCCAACATAATCATAAGGGTCCTTATAAGAAAAAACAAGCAGAGTTAGAAACAGAGAAGGTGATTATTCATAGAAGCCAGGTATGGAAGTGGCAAGGGTCAAGGATATGGCCACAGTGAAAGCGTTCATTGATAGATAAATGGATAGAGAAAATGGAATGTTATCGAGTCTTAAAAAAGAATAAAATCCTGTCATTTGTAACAACGTAGATGAACACAGAGGACATTATGCTAAGTGGAATAAGCCTTGCACAGAAAGACAAATACTGCCTGATCTCATTTATGTGTAAAATCTTTAAAAAATTGAACTAGAAGAAACAGAGTGTAGAATTTGGTTAGCAGGGGTTGGGGGGTGAGGGAAATGGGGAGATGTTGGTCAGAGTACAAAGTTTTAGTTATGCAGGACGAATAAATTCGGAGGTCTCATGTACTGCGTGGTGACTATAGTTAATAATACTGTATTGTATACTTGAAATTAGCTAAGAGAGTAGATGTTAAATAGTCTTACCACAAAACAAAAAGTAACTATGAGAAGTGATGATATGTTAAGTAGCTTTATTGTGGTAATCATTTCACATAGCATACCTATATGAAAACATCACGCTGTACACCTTAAATACATACAATGTTTGTTTATCAATTGTAACTCAACAAAGCTGGAAAGGGAAAAGAAAGAGAGAAGGTGATGTGAACATGGAAGAAACAGACACAGAAAAGGTGCTATGCTTGCTTCTGGCTTTGATGACTGAAGAAGGAGCCGGGAGCCAAAGAATGTAGTCAGCTTCTAGAAGCCGAAAAAATCAAAGAAAAAGTTTTTTTCTTAGACCCTCTAGAAGGAACGCAGCCCTACAGATGCCCGACCTCCAGAACTCTAAGATTAAAAAAAATTACGTTGTGTTAAACCCCTGTGTTTGGAGTGATTTGTTCCAGCAGCAAAAGAAAACAAACACGTGGCTTTTGGAGTTAGGGTCAGTGATGTTTACCCATGGATGAGATGCAGAGAGAGTCAAGGATAACATTACAAGTTTGTGAAGAGCAGCTGGAAGGACGGAGTGCCTTTTACTGGTGAAGACCTGTTTGGGGTGGCTTTAAGTCCAAGCCCCTGGCGATACCCTTTCTGCTCTGCTCTGGCTATGCTAAGAGGCTAAACCAGGACAAAATTCACGGGAGATGTACCCGCTTGGCTGGTCAGATGGGTACGTCCACTGTCATCATTCTTCCCCTAATTTTACACCCTCTTTGCAGCCTCTATCTATCAGTATTTCCTCGTTGTTCTTTGATGGTAGCAGGCAGCACAGAGCTCGATGAAATTAGACATATATTTCTTATTTTAAGGCACAGCTGAGAAAATGTCTAGGAAATAAAAGTTGTTTTGATGTAAGCTGTATTATCTGGAGGCTTGTTAATGGTCTGTCACTGGGGTCCTCAGGCTGAGAAATTGACTCCTTAAACTGATAATCACTGAAACAGTCACCAACGACCATAGTACTGCTTTGGTTATCCTCAGCCAGTGACAAAAGTCATACTATTGTAGTCAAAGAAGCTATGCCAGGGAGTTGGAGCCCCTGATTTTGACTGGCTTTGCTGTTCACCTGCTGTCACTCTCTCTTTTTGAGCCTCAGCTTCCCTGTCTGTAAATTGAGTGTGCTAGAGCCAGTGTTTTCAAAGAGCTCTCTTGGGGCTGCTTCTCCTTGCTATTTGTTATGCGTCTTAGAGAGAAGCTTGATCGAGCATTAAGCCATCCAGGTCTCAGCACTGTTCTGTCTCAGGTCCTGAGGAGCAGGCACTGACCTACTTCTTCTGCCTTCTTTTCCCTGCTGTCCTATTGGTCTTTATTCTGACCCCAGACCTGTCATTGCTCAGGATGCAGTTAGAGACCTTACTTCTATTCCAAGTGGCCAATGACTCACATGTCCACGGGACTGAGCAGTGAGGACAGGCTCCATTCGACAGAGTCCAAGGCAGATGGTCACGCTTCCTTTCCAGACTGAACATTGAATGCCAGGAGCTCAGTGAGGGGCACTCTCCTTCTGACTTGGAGCTCTGTGAGGCAGACACACAGGCCAGGTTCCGGCCACCTTCTGTTCTGGTTTGCCTAATGATGCTTTTGGCGAAAGACAAGGAAGAACAGCAAAAGCAAAGAAGGAAGCGATTAATCTGTTAAGGGAGTGTAGCAAGCATCCTTGACCCTCTTGAAGGAAGTTTCCATGAAAATAAAACACAAAACAGAACACCATGCTGTTGCCTCCCAGGAGGATGGCAAAACTGTGGTATGAATGCCCTCTCTGTCCTCCTTCCTAGGCCACGCTGATGAGTTGGGACCTGCAGGATCCATGTGACAGGAGTTATTACGACTCCCTCCTTCCTTCTCCTTCTGGCTGTAGCAAATCTGGCCTGTCTAATAGCACAAGACTGAACGACTGGTACTGAGTATTATACGATGTATGTTGTAGAGACAAATGAAGGCTTAAATAAATAAGCAGGTGCATTTAGCAAGTGCGTCCTGTTAGGATGTTATTTACTGTGGGACTTTATATATGTTGCATCATTCTTTTGCTTCTCAGGGAGGCACATTTATCAAACAAAGATTCTGGCCAAATCTTTTACAGTCAAAAAGATACTGAATGTTGACATCATAGTCACTTACCATTGGAGGACCCCTGAAACCAATTATGACAGGAAATAGAAACCATCATTATTTCCTGGCTTTTGAACTGCTCTTACCCTGCTTCACTTACTTAGTGCCCCACACAGTCCTGTGGACTAGGTTTCACTATTATTCTCCTTATGCAGCTGGGGGAACTGAAGGTTGAGGGATCTAAAGCATTTTAAAACCTTGCAATGGGGCCGGGTGCAGTGGCTCACACCTGTAATACCAGCATTTTGGGAGGGCAAGGCGGGCAGATCACCTGAGATCAGGAGTTCGAGTCTAGCCTGGCCAACATGGCGAAACTCCATCTCTACTAAAAATACAGAAATTGCCCAGGCATAGTGGTGTGTGCCTGTAATCCCAGCTACCCAGGAGGTTGAGGCAGGAGAATCGCTGGAACCCAGGAGGCTGAGGCTGCAGGGAGCTGAGATCGCACCACTGCACTCCAGCCCGGGCGACAAAGAAAGACTCCATCTTAAAAAAAAAAAAAAAAAAAAAAAAAAAAAAAAAAAAAAAAAAAAAAAATTGCAATGGGAAGAACAGACATCACTGTTCTTGAAATTTCCTTCAGCCTTTCCATGACTCTGGAGTTTCACCGTCCCCAGCCCATCTTGTTCAGTTTGTCTTCATCTTGGGTTCTGTTTCCTTCCTTCACTTCATAGCTCTGTTTTCCTTTTGCACTCCCTCATCCGAGGTCTAAAACAAAATTGCTCTCATTTTACCACTGTTGTTTTGCCTACTTGTCCGAAGCTGTCCTCAAAAGTACCTTTTCTACTTTTCTATCCAAAGAGCTCATCAAGTTTTTGTTTTGTTTTGTTTTGTTTTTTGTCTTTTTGCCCCAGACAAAGGCAATTTTCCTCTTAAGAAGAATTATTTTGAAAGCTGTTGAAAAAGTGACATTTGCTGTCTCCAGGATTTTCTTTGGAGTAGCAGGCAGTGGTACCTATGATCATGAAGGTGTGTTCCTCTCACACCACATGTACACCCTGCTGCCCTGGGTTTGTGCCATTTTGTTTTCACAACTTTTTGTTTCAATGCTAAATCATAATAAACTTGTAAAAAGTTTAACATTATAATTCATTTAAGCCATACACATAAAAAATTATTTTTTTCAGGTTTTAAAATGAAGAGAAATGCAAGAGCAGACCCAACTCTGGGAATTATGACAGGTTTCACAAGGAAGAGGTCTCAGGTGTGTGGCATATCCTACCAAGTGGAGGTGGCATGTCAGGTACAGGGAATAAGATAGGTAATGGCAAAGATGCATAAACTAGCATGTTATGTCAAGATGATAAGAGACAGATAATTGAGGCGAAAGTGAGAGATGATTCTGAAGGAGTTGGTTGGGAAGAGGGAAGGACAGTCATATCCCCTGTCCTTATGATCTTGTACAACTCCCATATAAACTATAGAGTACAGCACTATCTAAAGCAGCAATGTTTGTTCATACTGATGTTGTTAATTTTGTGTTCTTGTTATTACTAGCAATCTGAAGTCAGCCATGAGTCCCAAACTGGAATGATCTGATTTCAGTGGCTGGCGTGGTTTAATTCTCTGGCATGTTGTTCTTGGTATTAGGAGCGCAGTGTGGAATGGGAAATGAGAAGTTGGGCACCTGTTTCCTATTTCAGGCACTGCAGATTCATATGCACAGTCCTGGGGTGAATGTTTTTGAGGTAGATGATGCTTTGATGGAGTATTTATGTGTTTGTGTGTGTGTGTGTGTGTGCTGCAAAGATCCACTGTCATCAGTTTTCACAAGCATTTCAAAGAAGTGTGTGTGTGAGGGGGGTGGCCTTCTCAGAGATTGTCACTCTATGATTAATCTCATAATAAATCCTAAAATTCAAATTCCAAAGGAAGGCCTGTATGGTGGACGGTGTGTGGGTGGTCGGGGGGGCATCAACTGAATGCTAAAGAGGAAGTGGGCAGAGCTGTTAGCCTGAACTGAGATGGGTTGCAGCCCTCCTCGAAGCTTAAGGATGTCAGCACCTCTGGGAGGAAGGGTCCTCAGTTGACTCTTCTGAAGGAGAAACGTGGAATGAATGAAAAGATCCCAGTCAATTGTCAGGTTGACTAGAGATTTGATTGGGTGATTTCTTCTTCACAGTGGGAAGATGATCTCACATGGCAGTGAGGAGGGAAGAACCCTCTGCAAGTGATTTAGATGATTTAAGATAATTTTTGGCTGGGGAAAGATGTGATAAAATTTGGTGCTTAGTAAATCCCTCCTCCACTTTAATTAGAAGTCTCGGGATCAGTCATCTATTTTGTGCTGTTGTAATTTTCTTTACTTCCATTTAGGTTTTTCTCAGCATTTAGTAAATTTCATTTTGAATGTTTCAGCCTGTCTCAGTTGTGCAAAAGAAAACAAGGAAAAAGATTATGTTTACCTCGAGCTCAGAAGAAAGGAGAGATAGTGTTTCTCTCTCATCCTCCCCAACCCAACTCCCCAACCCAGGGAGATAGGGACTAGGCTTGGTGGTGGCAACAGGAATCAAAATCAAAGCACTCCAGGGAGAGGCAAAAGCTCAGAGGGGAGTGTTGGAATGCTGGCCTTGCCCCGCCCTGTTTACCTGCCAGACCTGTTTCCAAGGATACTCTTCTCTGGGGGATGAAAATTTAGATCATCACACGGAAAATACTTAGCGTGTTCTTCATATTCAAGGTAGTAATGAATTCATTCTTTCTTTCTTTATTTATTTGTTTGTCGTTGTTGTTGCTGTTGAGAATCTCTTATATGCCACTTATGGCTAGGATCTGTGGAGAAGAGGCAATGAGGCAAAATTGAAAGGGTACCTCATAATGGCCTGGATTGGATTTTTGGCTTTGCCCTGTGGCATGGCCTGGACACAGAACTTCATTGTATTCCTTCCTTGTAATAAGAATCGTAATGGCCGCCTCCTGGGATGATCAGGAGAATTTAGGATGATGTGAAGTACCTGTTAATTCACTGGTACGTGATAGGCATTTAGGAAGTGTTAGCATACATTGTTTATTGTCTTTTATTACACACAACTGCAGAGGTAATCGAGTATAGAATTATCATGGGGGCGAGGGCTGGAGGGAACAGGCATGGCCTCTCTCATTTTTCTTTTGTTATGGAAGCAGTATGTCATGGAAAGGAGCTTCAGAACTGGACTATCTCTGTGGCCTTGGGGCAAGTTATTCACTTGTTTCTCCTCAGTTTCTTCTGCCATAAATGGAGAAATATTGTAAAAACCAAAAGATTCAAATATATTACATGCATATTAGAGTGCTTATTGCCTCCTAGCTTAATAAGTAGTAAGTTCTTCTGTTTTGTTCTTCTCGTCCACATTGCCTTACCATTCTCAGCAACTACCTTTCCTGGGTGCAAAACCTGTACAAAATATACCATCCCCCAGGCCCAAAAGCCTGGCAGTAGGTTCTAAAGAAAATAATTGTGCCTACACCTTTATCCATTTTTTCACTCTTTATCCACTTCATTTTATATCATTCTATGAAATGTTTATTAAATATCTATTACATGCCAGCAATAATGGTACTTTCAGTGACTAATGTGACAGCTCTTGCTGTCAAAGAGCTCTCAGATTAATCAGGGAATGACAATAATCTAGAAATAACTATATTGTAAGGCAGATAGTGCATGTGCTGTGAAAAAGGTAAAAGGATATGGGGGGTCAAGATGAAGGCAGGTAGCTTCTGAATGGTGGAGGTGTGAAGAGAAATGGAGAGAGCTTCATGGAGGAGGTAACTTTAGAACAGAATATTTGAGGCTGTGAAAACTTTCTCTATGTGGAGGTGATGGGGAAGGACTCTAGGAAGAGGCAATTTTCTTTCTTTCTTTCTCTCTCTCTCTCTCTTTCTCTTTCTCTCTTTCTCTCTCTCTCTCTCTCTCTTCTTTCTCTCTCTCTTTCTCTCTTTCTTTCTTTCTTTCTTTCTTTCTTTCTTTCTTTCTTTCTTTCTTTCATTCTTTCTTTCTTTTTTGAGATGGAGTCTCACTCTCTCCACCCAGGCTGGAGTGCAGTGGCGTGATCTTGGCTCATTGCAACCTCTGCTGCCCGGGTTCAAGTGATTCTCCTGCCCCAGCCTCTCGAGTAGCTGGGATCACAGGCACCTGCCACCATGCCTGGCTAATTTTTTTTGTAGTTTTTAGTACAGAGAGGATTTCACCATCTTGGCCAGGTTGGTCTTGATCTCCTGACCTCGTGATCCACCCGCCTCGGCCTCCCAAAGTGCTGGGATTACAGGCGTGAGCCATCGCACCTGGCCAGAGAAGGACCATTCTAACAAAAGCAGGGGTGTGGCAGCTTGTGAGACATATTTGGGAAATGCTGATGGTTTAGTTTGGCTGGAGAATATGATATGCAAAAAGAAACAATGGGGAATAAGGATGAAACATTATTGTTACAAGTCTTTAATGACAGGATAATAATTTTGTACTCAGTTTGATTTGCAATGAGGAAACATTGAAAGCCTTTTTTGAGGAGGAGGGTAAGTAATATGACAACGAAGATACAATGAGTTGCTATCAAAATTTGGAAGTGGTGGGGTTTACATCTGGCTCTAGTAACAGCCAGATAATAACATGTGGGTCTTTGATGGCTGGTATGGAAGAGAGAGAAAAACAGCATTTCATGTTCCAAATTAAAAGGACAGTAAAGCTAAAGACAGAGGTAGAAACCCCTAGGGGATCATTCAAAAACAGATTAATCCAGGTTACTCTAGACATAAGATACAAGTGGGGAAATTCGGAGAGAGAACCAGATCTCTCCCTGTGCCCAATTTTCCCACCTATAAAATTTCAGTAATATATAGTACCTTCATTAGAGGGTTGTTGTAGAAACTAAGTGATTAATATTTATAAGGGGTTTACGGCAGTTTCTGGCACATGATAAGCACTGCATAAGTATTTGCTAAATAATTAGAAATAAATTTAAGATGCAAGTTGATTTAACATGGGGTTCTTAGGCCGGGCGTGGTGGCTCACGCCTATAATCCCAGCTCTTTGGGAGGCCCAGGCGGGTGGATGACCTGAGGTCGGGAGTTCGAGACACGCCTGGCCAACATGGTGAAACTCCGTCTCTACTAAAAATACAAAAAATTAGCCAGACATGGTGGCGGGTGCCTATAATCTCAGCTACTAGGCAGGCTGAGGCAGGAGAATCGCTTGAACCCAGGAGGTGGAAGTTGCAGTGAGCCAAGATGGTGCCATTGCACTGCAGCCTGGGCAACAAGAGAGAAACTCCATCTCAAAAAATGAAACAAAACAAAAAAAATGGGATTCTTAATTTTTTCTCTGACTATTTCTGTCTGAGGCATTGATTCATCTTGATAACACCTTGCTTTAGTATTTTCAATACAATTTTGGTATGTGTTAGCTCAAGTTATTTGTGTTATGATTCAAGACAGAACTGTGATCAACTCTGACACAGGCCAGCTAATCTGAAGACCTTTAAAAATGTCAAGTTTGTTATAGCCAATTGTTTTGGTTATTGTGATGATTTACCAGTTTTAGGCTTAAAACCCTAACATTCATAGGCGATAAACCTGCTTCTTTAATAAAATGATGACTTTTATGGGGCAACAAGTTCCAGTGAAAAGGAAATTTGCAGCAGTCACGTTCCTCTGTGCCTTAGTTTCCCAGAATGTAAAATTAAGGAATTAGGCTTCTATGTGTGCCATTAGGGCTTCTCCACGACTTTACAGGTACCTCCAATATATTCCTGAATAGCAGTGGGGTTGCCGGGGTTGGGCTGGAGTGAGCACCCTTTGGCTCTACCCTCTTGGCCCTGCTTGTCTAGCAGGGCAGTCCCTGATGCACATTGGTGGGACCCCCGCTGAGACTCATTCTGAAAACAAGTGGATAAGATGATACTTTTAGCTAATCGTCTTTGGTTCTCAAAAAATATGCATTTTTTTTTCAAATAAGGTAAACTTTTTGCATAATAAACAAATAAATAAGACATAGATATCTACATACATTTACTTGTATTTTGCATGAATTTGGGAACTTTGCTACTTACATGGAACTCATGGTAAAAGAGAAGATTTTTTTATATGGTGAACAATTGTTCCTTCATGTCTTTGTTTCATAAATTCTGAGTTTTGTTCTTTTTCTTTTCTCTTTCTTTTATTTTTCTTTTTTAGGCAGAGTATCTCTCTGTCGCTCAGGCTGGAGCGCAGTGACATGATCTCCACTCATCGCAACCTCCACCTTCCAGGTTCAAGCGATTCTCCTGCCTCAGCCTCCTGAGTAACTGGGATTACAGGCGCCCACCACCATGCCTGGCTAATTTTTGTATTTTTGCAGAGATGGGGTTTCACCATGTTGGCCAGGGTAGTCTTGAACTCCTGATCTCAGGTGATCTACCCACCTCGGTCTCCCAAAGTGCTGGGTTACAGGCATGAGCCACCAAGCCTGGACCCTACTTTTTTTCTTAGAGTGGGACACTTTTTGGCTTAAAACACGATTGTGAAAACCTAGGATACTAGCTTCTTTGTTCATTATCTACTTTTCTAGTCATTGCATTTGTTATTATTTTTACCTCTTTTCAAAATTGAAATAAGCTAAAAATATATATAAAAGCTTCCCTTTTTTTAAAAAAAAAAAAGGTATCTGAAATTTCACAAAGTATGCTGGCATCGCAGCATTCCATGAATATTTAATCATCATCATCAAGACAGGAGGTTGGAGAAAAAAATCAGGTTGTGATATTTGGGAACAGCAGGTGTGGGAAGGAGGGTGTTGACACCCTCTGAAAACGGATATGGCATGTTGTGTGGCAGGTTCCCTCCACAGCTCCCATGTCCCCTGGGGTCCCAAACGTGCTTTAAGAAAACTCTGAGGAGCTGGAGCTTGTCCTCACCCTTCCTGTGGCAGAGTGTCCCTGGAAATGGGCATGGGCTTTGCTGAACTCCTTTCCTTCACAAAAGCTTTCAGGATTTCTCTTTTCTGGGCCTTTGTACAATGTAGTTAGCTCCAGCCCCCATCTCTGTGCATTTTACCCTTATTACTGTTGTTAAGCAAGAAGCTCTTTTACCTGTAGTAAGTCAGCAGAGTACAGATATCCAGCTAGGAGAATTTGGGATGGAGGGTATTGAAACTTAGAGTTTACCCAGGAACGTTTATATCACACAGTGAGGAGCAACGTAAAAATGAAAGAATCGCGGGTCATGCATGGACAAATTACTTGCCTTCTAACCTTACCACACCCTCCACTTTGCCTGCCGCCCAATGTTCCAGACACACAGGTTTCACTGCCGTTTCCGTACAGCAAGAGTGATTCACCCTACAGGTTCTCGCCCCTGAGCTTTTGTACGGTCTATTCTGGTTGGAGTTTTCTAAATGACTGTCACGGTAGATGGAGAAACTGTGACACTCTGGTTCTCAAACTTTTATGTGCATAACAGCCATCTGGCAAGGCTTGTTGACTTGGAGATTCCTAGGCCTACCCCCCAGAGATTCTAATGCAGTAAATCAAGGGGCCTGGGCATGTACATTTGTTAATATGAGGTTCTCAGGCAGGTGTCCAGGGACCTGCGCATCAAATGCTGTCTTTGGGGTGAGAGGCTCTTTCTGGACACTAAAGGATGCCCTGGCATAAAGATCCACGCTGATACTGGAGCCCTGGACTCTGGGCCTGTCTTTGATTCAGGCTGGTCACTGCATTGGGGGTACAACTATTATTTGACAGTGGAGTAAGTTTTTCCCCTGTGGACCCCAAAGATGGAGAAAGGGGGAAATAATCCAGAATTACTGCCAAGAGGTGGAAACGGCTCACAGTGTGATTCAGGTGGCCACTGAGTGTTACCCATATGGAAAATCCTTTAGGCTACAGGAACAGAAGCAGGGCTGCAACTGGTCAGGGACTAAGACAGACAAAAGGAAGATTCCCTCCCTCTCCCCAGGTGATCTGGGCTCTCTGGAAACCCAGAGAGCAGTCCAGTTCAAAAGAAATCATCAAATGTCAAGACAGAATCACTGAGGAGAGTCCCCAACAACATAACAAAGATGAAAATTAAACATAAACTTCTTAGCTAAGCATTCCAGACCCTCAATAATACGGCCTTGGCCTTAGAGTCCACCATTTCCCTTTAAACTTCACCTTCTAAGAGAACAGAGCATTCAATGTCTTCAGATGGGAATTCAAGGGACTGTACTGATGGGTGAGTGCCATAGGGACCTCCTCTCTGGTTCAACTCCTATGGTCAGAACTCAAGTTTGTGAATTGAGCTGTTCCATTGTTTTCATTACGTTGCCATGCCAACTTAGGTTCTAGAGTGCAATCTTACTTTAAAAATCACTCCTTAAGCTGGGACACTGACACGAAGGTGATAACAGTTTGATACTTAGTAGCATAGAATGGCAACCCTAGAAGAGACCTCACTTTGAGCAAGTCCAAACTGCTTTAATTTGTTGACAAGGAAGCCAAAGGATCCCGAGGGAAACTTGCCTAAAGGTACACTTGCCGAGCACACCCAGGGAGTTAGTGAACTAGGGAGGTAACTCTCGGTGCCTACACAGAAATGCATAATACCTTTTATCTTAACTTGTGTCCCTCATACTTTCTTTGATGTCTCAGCATTTCAAAAGCCTATCTTATTTGCATTGTAATTTATCACTAGCTCTTCATTTATGTTTAAATTTTGTCAAGGTTCTTCTTCCTTCTTTAATTTCTTCCCTGATGAGACATGTAAAATGACTCAAGCTGTTAGGAGAAGAATTTTAGGTAGGAAGAAAAAAATAATAATTCAATGGTAATAGTTTCATCTTACTGAGGTTTTAAAATATCAGGGTCATTTTCAATTTAATTCGACCATATACTGGGCATCCGAGTCTGCTGGTGACTGAACTGGGGGTGAGACTATTATTTGTGTGACAGAGGAGTAACTTCTTCCCCTGTGGACCCCAAAGATGCAGAAAGGGGAAGAAAATCCAAAATTAATGCCAAGAAGAGGTGGGAGCTGCTCACGGTGTGAACTGGCATCAGTACATCTCCAATCAGACGCGGTGTTTTCTCCAACGAAGGTGGGCTGTGATGGTTGCCTGAGTCTGCTCTGAGATTCCATCTAGCGCTGTGACATTGAGAGGTGACTGGATGGTTTCCCCATCCACTCCAGGGTAACCCATACTTCCTCCTGAGCCCTGTGAACTGGGAGGGGCCCAGGTGCTTAGCAGGAATGGTGAGCCACACCCCAGGCATGAGTCAGACCTCCCATCCAGCAAGACGGGGAAGGGTGATGGGGTGGAGACTGTGGCAAGTTTCACCTTCTCCCGCCTTGTCTTGTCTTTGCTTTGTATTTGTAAGGAAGGGAGTTTCAAAGTGAAGCTCTGCCTTGTGGGGAGTCCTTCTCCCTGCCATGAATGGCTGGCAAAGTACACCCTTGTTTTCCTTTTCCTGGTTCTTTCTTAGTTCTCTCTTGCTTTGGGGGAGTACAAGCATAAGAGTAGGGGCAGGACTGGTTTGTGAGGCCATGTGCAAAGTGAAAATCCAGGCTCCTTGTTCAAGAACTATTAAGAATTTCAACATGACAACAGCAGAACAAAAGCAAGCACAAGGCCCGTCTACCTGCAGGCCTGTGTAACTGCACGGGTTGCATGCCCATGAAGCCATTCTCGGCGGGGGTGGATCAGAAAGTCAGGTGAGGAGCTGGAGTGGAGGACCCTCGCTGGGTCTCAAACCAAAGCCAAAAACGTACGAGAATTCTTCCCCATCTGTAACGAATGTGAAAAATGGTGTAACGTTAGCAGATTAGTATCCAGAGAGTCTCGAAGTATTGCACTTAGATTCTGTGGCTGTCAAGAGCAGACTTTATTTTGCAAAGGAGAAATAGAGGCCAAGCTAGAAGAGGCGATCCTCTGAAGGTCACATTGCTTGTTAGTGGCAGAATGGGAACTGGATCCTAGGCTTTCTAACTTCCATGCCAGTGCCCTTTTTAGCCCTCAGTGAACCTGTGCAACAATGAAATTGTTCTCTTTCATTGCGGATAAAATTGGAACTTGGAAATAAGAGTGAGATGCAGGGAAGGAAATGAGATCAATGATAAATGAATGGAGAAAACAAAACAGTTTAGGAAGCCAAAGCAGTTTGTCTGAGTCCTATCTGATACACAACATACAGCAAAGCAGACAAATGTCTATGTGGCAAAACAAAACTGGAGGAAGCAGATATTTTCAAATAAAATATGCATATTTCCAACCAGCCTTGAGCTCATCTGATAAGGGACAGATTGTCCGGAGTAAATAGAGAGAGAAAAAAAGATGCTTTGGGCTGAATTTAGTCCCTTGTCAAAAGCAGAAGGGGCTTTTTGTTTCTCCCTCTCTGAAATGTCACCTCTCTAGCTGCGAGGCCTCGTAGGGCTGTGAAGGAAAACAGAGTAGTTTATACATTCATTCATTTCACTCATCCACCCATCCATCAAAGTAGGTATCTTTTGAGCACCTACTATTGGCATTGTAGTGTACTAGGTCCTAAAAAGAATGTCTTGTTTAAGACATGGCCCTTATCTTTAAAGAGGGTAGACAGATGCATATTGGGGAGGAAAACTATAAGAGGGTAGTACTAGTGACGTGTGCTGTGTACTATTGGAACTCAAGAGAAGGGGAAATTCATACTGCTTAGTACCTGTTCACTTCAAAAACTGCTGCCAGTATCTGTTCATTGTCATTGAACTCCTCTTTCCCAAAAGACTCCTGGGACAAGGGGTTTATCTGGGCAGTTGAGATATGGGATTCTTGTAGACACTACCTATTTACTCCCAGTGATGCATGTTTATGTACCAGTTTTTATCTGCATGATCCACTGTGAGGGAGACCTGGACATGAGGTGATTCTGGTTCATACCTGACCAGGATCCACGCCACCTGTACTTCCTCCTGCCCATCTGCTGCCCCAGGCAGTGTGTAAGAGAACAGCCCTGCCGAGTTTAGGGAGGAGGCTGGCTTGTGTGGTCATTCATCCCCATCTGAAAAATGGCAGAAGAGGGGTTCTAACGTACCAGTGTTTCCTAACCTAAATAAGTAACAACATACATTATTTCTCATAGACAGTAGAGCTAAATGAGAAGAGGAAGAAGAATAATTTGTAAAAGCTATTTTATTTGAGATGGAGTCTCACTCTGTTGCCCAGGCTGGAGTGCAGTGGAGCAATCTTGGCTCACTGCAATCTCCACCTCCTGGGTTCAAGCGATTCTCCTGCCTCAGCCTCCCATGTAGCTGGGATTACAGGTGCCCACCAGTGCGCCCGGCTAATTTTGGGATTTTCAGTAGAGACAGGTTTCACCATGTTGGCCAGGCTGGTCTTGAACTCCTGACCTCAGATGATCCGCTCGCCTCAGCCTCCCAAAGTGCTGGGAATACAGGCGTGAGTCACCAGGCCCAACCTGTAAAGGCTATTATAGAAGAGACAGAAGAGACCGGACACAGAGAGAAAAGATCTCTGAGGGCCAGTCTGGTAAAATCATTCTGTGCTTCCCTGCTCCTTGGCTGTTGAGCATGTTGTCCACTGGGAGATCTGTACATAGCCTTTGCTATGCCTGGAAATATAGACATGAAATGAATTCTTACATATAGCCATATGTTCTGTAATAGTATTGCTTCAGATTCATACCAATACTTAGAATTTTACGAAGCTCTTATCACCTCCAGGAGCTCATCAACCTCAACAGCCCAGGGAGGTTGGTGGGATCTGTAGTCTAATTCCCATTGCACAGAAGAGGCAACCAAGGCTTGGGGAAAACTCAGCTACTCGTCTCTGATCCCAGTGAGCAGCTGAACAGGGACCGGAGCTGAGGTTCTCCGTGTGGCATTACTCCTACTGCTTGTGCCCCTCCTGGATGTATTATGTTTCCTGCCCCAGTTACTGCAGGCCGCAGTACGATGGAGCTCAGCATGAGCTGGGAGGAGTGTTCAGTGGCCACTGAAAACCAAACGATTATCAGATGGATGCCATGTGAACAACTGATGTCTTTTCACAGAGTTTCTTGCCCTTTAAAATCGCATACTTCAAACAGCAGTGCATTGCTTAGTCTTTCTCTTAAGAGACCAGGCTGGGATCCAGCATGTCTCCACTCCTCCCGCCTTTCGTGCCCCCACCCTGAGCCATCATAAAGACATTTGGAGCTGAGTGGGAACAGTATTTGCCTCGCAATTATTTCTAATTGCCCTGTAGTTTTGCGGCATCTAAGTGATGTGACCTAGATACCAGTTCTGTAAAACTCTCTTTTCAGCCTGGGGTCTGCATTAGGGAGGGGACATAAATCAGTTTGATCAGGTAACTGTGGCTGAGTCGGTCTCACCAATAACATTTATAACCAACTCTACCATCTGTGCTTGTTGAAATCCTAGCTCTTCTTAACAGCCCGGATCTAATGCTGCCTCCTCCGCTGTGCAGCCTTCCTGGAGTTGCTCTCTCCTCTGGATGGCCATAGTACCTGTTATGATCTTGTCTGTGGTGCTCATCATCTTCTGTACTGCGCAATGCTAACTCACTTACACATTTTATCTTCCTGAGCTCCTTATGTCAGAGACTGTGTTTGGTTCATTTTCATATCCCTGTCTACGTGGATAACTGAGAAAGCCCAAGGTAGTTGCTCAGTTAACTACTGTTGAGTTAGTATACATGATGTCCCCAACATGGTGGAAGCAGGTAAAAGGACTGTTTATTCATCGTGACCTCTCCTGGGGGGTGAGTTTGGTCACTGTGACCTCTCCTGAGTGGTAAGTTGCCAGTTTGCACTTCATTTCCTGTGGAATCTTTTCATGACCTCACTATTCCTGGAACTTTGAACAACATTTTTTGAAGGGTGAATATGAGTTATTTTTCTTTTAAAAGAATGGAATTCAACCAGTCTAGTTTGTCAGTGCACCTCCGTTCCTCCAGCCGTCAAACAGATACAATCTGATTTGGCCAGAGTCTGCTGAATGAAGTAGAGAATTTAGGATAGAAAATTGAAATTCAATGATACACATACAGCATTTTGTTTTCTGTGCTGTCCTTTCTTCCAGCAATCCACCTACTTGTGCAGTTCATACTTTATTTTATACCAACTCTATGTAGAACACACTTGCTTAGGTTTCAGAATGTGTTCATTAAGATTCTATTTCATTTTTTTTAGCACCGTTGCTATGTCAAATCTTATCCTAGGTTTATTCTCATATGCTTCCTTTCAAATTCTATCTGCATTTCTGAAGGAGAAATGATACTCTCAACTTACAGATAACCAAAATTAAAAAACCTCAGAAAGATAAATTA